TAATCCCTTCATTTAAGATTTTTTTAATGTTTTTTTTTTTTTTTTCAAAGGTTTGCTCCTTTGATATTATTGTAACCTTATTAGATTAGATTCTTAGAGAACTCTCATTTAAATAAAATAAAATAAAATAAAATAAAGATTATAAAACAAAAATGTTTCTAAAACAAGATGATTCCTAAAATAACAAAAATAAAAATTTGTAAATAAATTAAATTAATAACATTTTTTTTAATAATTTCAAATTAACTTAAATTAAGTTACATTTACTTTTTTTTTTTTTTATTGAAACTGTAATTTTTAGTTATTAAACAGCACAGCATTCAGTCATGACCCTAAAGTACATTTCTACTGAGTCTTCGGAGCTGATAATACCTACTGCCAACATGCCCCTATAAAGGCACAGATCCCTCACCTGTCCCTCTATCTGTGTGCCTGTGAACGAGTGTCCATTTTCACATTAGATAGGGATGAGTCATTAAACAATGCAGTGAAAGATCTGCTGGTGTTCAACAGATGTCTAGTGTCCCGTTGTCTCCATTAGGGTTAAAGATAGTGGTGAAAGTGTGTGTGTGTGTTTGTGAGTGTGTGGGGTTAGCAGAGGTAACATGGATAAACCTCACCACTGCAGCTGCAGCTGTTCACCAACACTCCGGCTATTTGCGCCATGGAATGCTGTCTGAATTTAGCAGGGCATGAACGCCACGGGAGAGAAACCATTGGCTGTCTGCTGAATCCACATATGCACAGGTCAATAAACGTTACTGACCTGTTAATTCATCTGTAAAGATTATTAATTATTGTCTGTGATCGATATAATTCTTATTTTCTGAATGAATCATGCTTAACTGTGCACAACTTGCCACCAGTTTTGTTGTCATTAAACTAATACTAAAACAATTTTTTTTAATTGTTAATTGAAATTAAGCTAAAATTAAAATATATACAATGTATATAATATATATATAAGTACAAAAATTACTAACTGAAATAAAATTTAAATAAAAAAATTAAAACATTTTAAAAATAAAAAAAATTGAAAGCTAATAAATGTGTCAAACGCACATAACAAAATTACTAAAACTAAAATGAAAACTGAAAATATAAAAATAAAAGTTATTATAAGCACATTTTGGTGCCATTAACATCTTACCAGTGTTGTTATTGTTTACTAAATCTAACACTAAAACTATTAAAACAATTTGTTAATTGAAATAAAGCTGAAATAAAATAAAACAAAGACTAGATGAAAAAAAATGAAAATTGAAATGTTGTCATGGCAACTAACTGAAATGAATTAAAGTAATACAATTATTAACTGAAATAAATTAAAACTAAAACTGTAATAAAACTAAAAATGAAACCAATTTTTAAGAACCAAAAATATTTTTAAAAAACCACAAAAAACTACTACAAATTAAACTGAAATATAAAAATAAAACAAATTCAAAATATTGACAAATATATATAATATATATATATATATATATATATATATATTAGTTAGCTTAGTTAATTTTATACATGCATTATATATCTATGTATGTGTGTGTATAAAATTAACATTATATGCATTATAAAATAAATGTAAAAAATTTCCGTTTGTTTGTTTACAAGTACGTTGTATACAGTGGGTACGGAAAGTATTCAGACCCCCTTAAATTTTTCACTTTTTGTTATATTGCAGCCATTTGCTAAAATCATTTAAGTTAATTTTTTTTCCTCATTAATGTACACATAGCACCCCATATTGACAGAAAAACACAGATTTGTTGACATTTTTGCAGATTTATTCAAAAAGAAAAACTGAAATATCACATGGTCTTAAGTATTCAGACCCTTTGCTGTGACACTCATATATTTAACTCAGGTGCTGTCCATTTGTTCTGATCATCCTTGAGATGGTTCTACACCTTCATTTGAGTCCAGCTGTGTTTGATTATACTGATTGGACTTGATTAGGAAAGCCACACACCTGTCTATATAAGACCTTACAGCTCACAGTGCATGTCAGAGCAAATGAGAATCATGAGGTCAAAGGAATTGCCTGAAGAGCTCAGAGACAGAATTGTGGCAAGGCACAGATCTGGCCAAGGTTACAGAAAAATTTCTGCTGCACTTAAGGTTCCTAAGAGCACGGTGGCCTCCATAATCCTTAAATGGAAGACGTTTGGGATGACCAGAACCCTTCCTAGAGCTGGCCGTCCGGCCAAACTGAGCTATCGGGGGAGAAGAGCCTTGGTGAGAGAGGTAAAGAAGAACCCAAAGATCACTGTGGCTGAGCTCCAGAGATGCAGTCGGGAGATGGGAGAAAGTTGTAGAAAGTCAACCATCACTGCAGCCCTCCACCAGTCGGGGCTTTATGGCAGAGTGGCCCGACGGAAGCCTCTCCTCAGTGCAAGACACATGAAAGCCGGCATGGAGTTTGCTAAAAAAACACCTGAAGGACTCCAAGATGGTGAGAAATAAGATTCTCTGGTCTGATGAGACCAAGATAGAACTTTTTGGCCTTAATTCTAAGCGGTATGTGTGGAGAAAACCAGGCACCTGTCCAATACAGTCCCAACAGTGAAGCATGGTGGTGGCAGCATCATGCTGTGGGGGTGTTTTTCAGCTGCAGGGACAGGACGACTGGTTGCAATCGAGGGAAAGATGAATGCGGCCAAGTACAGGGATATCCTGGACGAAAACCTTCTCCAGAGTGCTCAGGACCTCAGACTGGAACTAAGGTTTACCTTCCAACAAGACAATGACCCTAAGCACACAGCTAAAATAACGAAGGAGTGGCTTCACAACAACTCTGTGACTGTTCTTGAATGGGCCAGCCAGAGCCCTGACTTAAACCCAGTTGAGCATCTCTGGAGAGACCTAAAAATGGCTGTCCACCAACGTTTACCGTCCAACCTGACAGAACTGGAGAGGATTTGCAAGGAGGAATGGCAGAGGATCCCCAAATCCAGTTGTGAAAAACTTGTTGCATCTTTCCCAAAAAGACTCATGGCTGTATTAGATCAAAAGGGTGCTTCTACTAAATACTGAGCATTTTTCAGTTTTTCTTTTTTAATAAATCTGCAAAGATGTCAACAATTCTGTGTTTTTCTGTCAATATGGGGTGCTGTGTGTACATTAATGAGGAAAAAAATTAACTTAAATGATTTTAGCAAATGGCTGCAATATAACAAAGAGTGAAAAATTTAAGGGGGTCTGAATACTTTCCGTACCCACTGTATATAAGTACAAAAATTACTAACTGAAATAAAATTTAAATAAAAAAATTAAAACATTTTAAAAATAAAAAAAATTGAAAGCTAATAAATGTGTCAAACGCACATAACAAAATTACTAAAACTAAAATGAAAACTGAAAATATAAAAATAAAAGTTATTATAAGCACATTTTGGTGCCATTAACATCTTACCATTGTTGTTATTGTTTACTAAATCTAACACTAAAACTATTAAAACAATTTGTTAATTGAAATAAAGCTGAAATAAAATAAAACAAAGACTAGATGAAAAAAAATGAAAATTGAAATGTTGTCATGGCAACTAACTGAAATGAATTAAAGTAATACAATTATTAACTGAAATAAATTAAAACTAAAACTGTAATAAAACTAAAAATGAAACCAATTTTTAAGAACCAAAAATATTTTTAAAAAACCACAAAAAACTACTACAAATTAAACTGAAATATAAAAATAAAACAAATTCAAAATATTGACAAATATATATAATACTATATAAATAATACTAAAATAGCACTGTGTCTTACACACTTACGCAAATTTCATATTTAAAGTAAAGGCTTGTTCAAATCTCTAACCCTGAATAGTATAGTGATGCTTGTCTTAGCATGTCGACAGCCACAAAAACACTCAATCAAGTTCAGTTCCTCTGATAAGACGGTTGCCATGCCAGTTCATTAGATTCTCATTGGATTTCTTCACTCTTCATGCTAATGAAAGACTAAGCAGCTGCCTTTCCATCACAGAAAACAACACACTGCTTCTGCATATGTGTGTGAGCCACAGTGAGCGGTAAATTAGCATCTGCCAGCACTGTCAAAACTACTGTACAGTGCAGCTCAACCAGAATAATTACTTTAATGAAATGTTTCCGTGGAGCATTTGCTCGTAATCTGAGGGTAAACGTGCCCTCCTGACTCACACCTGAGACTCACTGCAGCTCCCTGACCAGAAGACATTACAGTCTCAGAGAAATCATTCATTCATTTGATGTGACCGAAGAATCTTCAAATGTTGCCATCGTTTGGATTCCTTCCTTAGTGTACAGGCAAGCGAATTATGAATGCATTCATTTACAACACATTTTAAATGTACAAATGTACATTTATTGAAACTGTTAGAGATATTTTTCAAGCGATATTTTAATTATTTTTCAAGCATTAAACT